TAGTAACAGAAGCCAATACGTGTATGCAAATGGTGCAATTCTTCCACACAACCAATCACAGTAGGAGTCCCACAGGGAAGTGTCCTAGGACCACTCCTCTATCTCATCTACATCAATGACGTACTGAATGCATCACAGCTACTCAAACCCATATTATTTGCAGATGACACTATATATATCTTCTCACACCCAAACCCAGCCATACTTGCCAACACTATCAATGCTGAATTGCAGAAAATATCTGCCTGGATGATGATGATGATGAATAAACTTACCCTAAATACTGACAAAACCTATTTCATTCAATTTGGGACCAGAGCTGCAAATGTTCCACTTAACATAACAATAAATGGATCACCCATCACAAGACTCACAGAGGGAAAATTCCTAGAAATCCACCTAGACAGTAGCCTCAAATTCCAGACACATATACAACAAATTTCCAAGAAAATCTCTAAGACGGTAGGCATACTATCAAAGATATGGTACTATGTTCCACAATCAGCTCTCCTTGCACTGTATCATTCACTTATCTACCCTTATCTCACATATGGCATTTGTGCGTGGGGATCAACATCATCAAATCATCTAAGGCCTCTAATAACCCAGCAAAAGGCTGCAATCAGAATGATGATAAATTCCCACTTGCGATACCATACTCCACCGCACTTGAAAAGAAAGAAGTCCCGCTGGGCATTTTCATTGATTTACGTAAAGCTTTCGATACAGTCGACCATGAACTGCTGTACTCCAAATTAATGCACTATGGTATCAGAGGCCACTCTTAAGTTAATTTTAAGCCTGCCCGTAATGCTATGCATACAAGTGGCTTTGGCATGCTGCTCTTACCTGTATTTTTTGTACCTCTGTATGTATGTTCAAATTATTAAATAAATAAATAAAATAAATAAAATCATACCTTAGTAACAGAACTCAATATGTGTATGCAAATGATGCAAACTCTTCCACCCAACCAATCACAGTAGGAGTCCCACAAGGAAGCGTCCTTGGGCCACTCCTCTTTCTCATCTACATCAATGATCTACTGAATGCATCACAGCTACTCAAACCCATATTATTTGCAGATGACACTACATATGTCTTTTCTGACCCAAACACAGTCATACTAGCAAACACAGTGAATGCTGAATTACAGAAAATATCTGCCTGGATAATGACTAACAAACTTACCCTGAACACTGATAAAACCTATTTCATCCAGTTTGGAAACAAAGCTGCAAATTATCCAATTAACATAACGCTAAATGGATCATCAGTCACAAGACTCTCAGAGGGAAAATTCCTAGGTATCCACCTTGACAGTAGCCTTAAGTTCCGGACACACACACAACAAATCACCAAGAAAATCTCCAAGACTGTAGGCATACTATCAAAGATAAGGTACTAGGTTCCACAATCAGCTCTCCTGGCACTGTACCATTCACTCATATACCCTTATCTTACATATGGAATTTGTGCATGGGGATCAACAACATCCAATCACCTAAAACCCCTAATAACCCAGCAAAAGACAGCAGTAAGAATGATAACAAATTCCCACTCTCACCAGCATACTCCACCAATTTTCAAAAGTCTGAATCTGCTCACCATTAAGAACATCCATACTTATTCATGTGCCTACTACATACACAGAACAATACACGCAAATATAAACCCTCCACTCAAACTTCTCACCAACCTAAACAGGACACATGACCACAACACAAGACACAGATCTCTTTTTGATATACCTCGTGTCCATATCACACTGTGTAAAAACTCTATGCACATAAAGGGCCCCAAAATATGTAATTCATTACCAGAAGATATTAAAGTAACCCAGTCTGAAAATCAATTTAAGACTCTTCTCAAAAGCCACTTAATCACCCTAGATTAAATGTGAAATACTCTGTACACACTCACCTATGTACTTCCACATCATAACTGAAACAATCACTTTGAACCTTTTATCCATTGTTGACAGGAATATAATTGAATCATTGTTTTCACAAAAAGCATTTTTGAATATAAATATATCTTTGTATTATACAAATTTTGATTCATTTATAATTAATATTCTACTGTACAACTATGAAATAATTACTTTCCTACTGTACAACTATGATGTACTCTTTAGTGTTAAGTAGACTGTAAGCCAATAATGTTAAGTTGGCCCATAATGCCAAGGCATATTAGAGGCTCTCTTTGCATTGCAACCCACTATTGTAAATACAAAATCTCAATGTACTGTTTGCTTTTTTTTTTTTTTTTTTTTTTTTTCAACAAGTCGGCCGTCTCCCACCGAGGCAGGGTGACCCAAAAAAGAAAGAAAATCCCCAAAAAGAAAATACTTTCATCATTCAACACTTTCACCACACTCACACATTATCACTGTTTTTGCAGAGGTGCTCAGAATACAACAGTTCAGAAGCATACACATATAAAGATACACAACATATCCCTCCAAACTGCCAATATCCCAAACCCCTCCTTTAAAGTGCAAGCATTGTACTTCCCATTTCCAGGACTCAAGTCCGACTATATGAAAATAACCGGTTCCCCTGAATCCCTTCACTAAATATTACCTTGCTCACACTCCAACAGATCGTCAGGTCCCAAGTACCATTCGTCTCCATTCACTCCTATCTAACACGCTCACGCACGCTTGCTGGAAGTCCAAGCCCCTTGCCCACAAAACCTCCTTTACCCCCTCTCTCCAACCCTTTCGAGGACGACCCCTACTGTTTGCAATGACAAAATAAATAAATAAAATAAAAAAGTCTAAATTTGCTCACCATTAAGAACATCCACACTTACTCATGTGCCTACTATGTACATAGACTATATACATAGACTCTTCTAAAAAACCACTTACATGCCCAGGACTAAATAATCAACACTCAATATTTAATATTACCAATAATTCTCCCAATTACTTAAATCTTAAAACTTCAAGACAACATACAGTAAATTGATCATCTTTAATTTTAAGCCTGCCCATAATGCTCTGCATACAAGGGGCTTTTGGCATGTACACCCAACTACTATGTCCAAATCATTGAAGTAGGCCTAGTAAAAGCTCATAAACAGAGCAAGGGTGGTCTTATGCTTCCTCAGGAAAATTGTCAAAAATATAATATTTCTGCTACTGTGAGCCCTATTTCAAGCTACTTCTGGTCCTGAAACTGACCAAAATCATCCCTATCTCACTATTATGTCTTCCATTCTATCACTTGATGTAAATAAATGAGCCAGTAGAACCATAAAAACCATCTTAGAAAACACCTTAGTCACTATTTTAAACCAAACACAATCAGGGGTTTGCTTTTCCCATGTGCTTCATGGAGCAGGATTCTTTTTATACTATGCACACTCACCAAACAGACCCATTCTCTCATATCTAGGCCAAAATTTACCTCTTACAGCATAATTGAGGGTGCTGTGCAGGAGAGAGACTGACACCAATTAATCAAAGGAATTAGACAGGTCCAATTCCTTAAATCAAGTATGATTGCTTTTCATTTTCCCAGGTCTTATGACCTCCAACAGACTTAGCACTCCCAATGAATGTAATAATCTGTATGTGGTAATCCCATATGAAAGATGGTATCTGTTGTTAGTCTTGTAAGTCATCCTCATATGACAATTGTGTGTGGCTTATATTCAGTTATTCTGCTGCTGAGCTCACTTGTTTAGTTTGTGATGCCATCCATGTTTGTGTATTTTTCTGTGGGTTGTGATAGTCATAGCAGAACTGGCGGTAATCAAAAGTGGAACCATTGGTACATACAGCTCTGGGAGTGGCAATGAAGTAACACAAGTAGTAAAGATAGTAACAGTACTAATGTAGTAGAGGTAGTTGTAGTTTATGTTGTCTATGCAGTTCCTTTTCTCCTGTAAATTCCATACCATTTTTCCAATATGTATGGTATATTTTCCCCTATCCATTATTATATCAACAGTGGCTGGAGGGAGTGGAGAGTGTGGAGAAAGCCTTCTGCTTATGTCTCCTTCACTTAGACACCTAGATAATATGTGATAGTTCTTAATCTAGAAACAAATAGTGATCTCTTTTTCTGTAGGTAACCTCAGTATGGACTTTCAGGTCTTCTGCTGTCTGCTTTCCCATGTACAGTGGACCCCCGCTTAACGATCACCTCCAAATGTGACCAATTATGTAAGCGTATTTATGTAAGTGCGTTTGTACGTGTATGTTTGGGGGTCTGAAATGGACTAATCTACTTCACAGTATTCCTTATGGGAAAAAATTCGGTCAGTGCTGGCACCTGAACATACTACTGGAATGAAAAAAGTTCGTTAACCGGGGGTCTACTGTACTTGCAATCCTTTGAGTCCTCCCTGTTGCCCAGGTCTTGGCTCCTTACAGGTCACAGCTGTGTCAGTGCTGGTTGGTTGGTCTGTGTGTGTTGTGAGCTGTGGATGGGACAGGGAAGGGTGGTAGTTAATGGGTTGGAGTCTTTGCTACTGAAGTTAAGTATAAATACTTACCTTCAGTACACAACATACAATTTTTTTTTTACAATGTTCTTTAGGGCACACATTATGGGCACTTAAAAATTTATATTACACTGTTAGGATAACTTACAGAGTCAGCGTGATATATTTCCAGTGGGTGAGAGGCAGGGTTGGGGTGGGATGGAATGGGGTGTACCTGGCAGATTGTTTGAGGGCTGTTTCTTTGTGGGTGGCTGTTTTTATGTAAATGCAGGTTGGTGAGGTGAAGGGAAAGAAAATGATTCAGAAAAAAAAAGTGAGACAGAGTGGTGTGGAGAGGGAAGGGAGTGGGTAACTGGCTTGGCATGAGGGGTATGAGTAGGAGGGTGATGTGATACATGGTGACAAGAGTTTTGGTGAGAGAGAAGAAAAGGTTGAAGGGGTCAGGGAATGGGTGCTTGTTTATTCATGCACCTGTGCATATAATATTTTCAAATATGCAAAAGATTTACAGGAAAAATTTATTGATAGTATTTTACTTGCAGATGGACACTGCACCCACAGCATTTCCAACAGTGTATCCACCTTCAGTACCTTCAGATGGGGAAGACTACCCTTACTTTCAGGACAAACCAGACAAATATAGCTGTAATCAATATGTTATCAAAAACAAAACTCATTTAATTTATGGTGGATATGAGGGAATTCCTGAAAATTTATTAATTAACTTCTTAGGCTGGATTGTAAGTATCTTTCATATTTTTTTTTTCTTTTGCAGTATTTTATAAATTAACCAGTATATTTTTGTTTAGCAGAAGAAATAAGCTGCTACTTGTAAATGATTACCCATTTAGGTTTTAAAAATATTTTGCATCATATGCAAGTGAATAAGTTTTCAAAAATTTTAAGCAGCATGTTACGTTTTTCCTTGTAAAATGGAAAGTGCAACATTTAAAAAATAATTTCTATAAATCGCACTGTATTGTACACCAAATCATAGTTCAAAATTCAGGTTTCACATTCCATCACAAGGATTCTATCAAAAGTATATTTTTTCACTAATTTACTTGTACATAATCCAAAACAACAGTTTTGTCAATTTATAATCTTTCATTTACTACAGTTATCTACTTGACATAGTTTTGAAGTTTTATGTAGCCCATATCCATCCTGTGTGCACTAGTCAAGAAATTGCAGAGGTGCTGTATACGTACATGTAATAGGTCTATAGACTGGGCCCCATATTTAACTTGGATGACAATATACAATTTAAAATGATACAAGTTAAGTACAGTGGACCCCCGGTTTTCGTAATCTGTTCCAGAGAGAGTGACTAAACCCGAATCTGACGATTTCCGAATTAATTTTCCCTTTAAGAAATAATGTAAATCCTATTAATCTGTTCCAGACACCCGAAAGTATTAACAAAAATTATTTTTTTATAGATTAAATATAGATTTATATACTGAAAAGAATGCAAAATCGAGTATAAAACAATAATATCACACTTACCTTTATTGAAGATTCTTGTTGGTGTATGGAAGATGGGAGGAGGGGAGAGGGTTAGGGTGATGTTCCTCCACAAATGTTTGCACCTCACTCCACTTTGCACAAATGTTCTTAATCTTCAAAGAAGGCACCGTCTTCCCTCTCTCTTTCTCCTCCTCTGAAGCAAATTTCCTCAGCTGGTGTACATAAGAACATAAGAAAGCAGGAACACTGCAGCAGGCCTGTTGGCCCATACTAGGCAGGTCCTTCACAAACCATCCCACTAACAGAATATTTGTCCAACCCAATTTTCAGTGCTACCCAAGCAATAAGCTTTGATGATTCTATTCACTCATGCACAAGTCCCACTCAAAACAAAACGTGTGTGGGGGTAGTACCCTGGCTAGTGTGTGTGTGGGGAAGTACCCAGGCTGGTGTGTTCTTTCTTGAATTCTATCATGTTTATCACCTTCCTTACCAAAGGTCTGGCACTAGGAGCTTTCTTTTGGCCTGCGGTGGCTTATTTAGCAGTTGCAAGCACTAAAAAGAATGGAATAATGCAAAATGTATCGTATGAACGCATGGGATCGTCCTCATTTGCTGATAAACAATGGCACACAGGCTGTAAATGGTGTCTCGGTGCACAGACACGTTTGGGATGAATGACTATTGCCGAGTTCAGTGACGATCACCGAGCCAGTATTTTGACGAAAAACGTTACTTATTCCGAATATTACGAAATCCGACGACTACGTAATCCGGGGGTCCACTGTATTAAATAATCTTAAGTATTCCCGTAGTGTTGGAATGATTGCTAAAAAAATTGACGGACTTGGCAAGTCATATAATTTTGAAACATATTTTCATAATTAGGTACTTTCATCTATTGATTAAAAAGTACATTTATCCCCTTTTTACTAGCTGCTGCTGTGCTTGTTCACTGTACTACGAAAAAAGGCCTGGAATTATGGGCGTTTGGCACTCGTTCAGAAGTATGAGAGCAGGTATGTACTTTACTAATAAAAGCACTTGTGTCAACGAGCTATTTTTGTTTAGTTCAAGATTGAGTTTAATCTTAGTTTAACATCTTTATTATGCACCCCATGCCCATCCTGCAGAAAAGTTGTTCGAGTTTCTCTGGTGAGGCATTTGCCTTGTTGAACTTCTGTGCCTGTAAAATAGGCTCTGATGCACATTAATGCTTTATTTTGAGGGGTGAAGATACAGTATTAGATTTTGCTCTAAGTTTTGGCAGACAGAAATTGGTCAGTTGTCTTGTGTAATGTATACTTGAAATATCAGTCATTTTTCTTGTATGTCTGTCAAAATCTTGGATTTTATATACAGTATCCCAGTACCTGTAAAATTGTAAAATTTATCTGTTTATAATAATTATGAATATTGTAAGATGTATAAGAGAAAGTATTAGAATTAGGAGTAATAGTCCATTATCATTTTGCTTATATGTACTGTGAAAAAAAAATACCACGGGCAGGGCTTGAACTCGTGATTAGTGAGCTGTAAAACTCCAGACTGATGTGTTAGCCACTGGGCCAACTGGATATAGTGAGGTTCATCCAACTAGGTATATTAATACACCATAGGAAGGTTAGCATATGCACCACTGTGACTACAGATGCAAGTTTTCACAGATGAATCTTGTAGTCAGCTGGCCCAGTGGCCAGCTGACTGGAGTTTTAAGACTCACTAACCATAAGTTCAATCCCCGCCTGTGGTATTGTTTGTTTGCAATCGTGTCGTTACGATTTTGAGTCATGCATACTGTGTAGTCATTTTTTTTTTTTTTCAACAAGTCGGCCGTCTCCCACCGAGGCAGGGTGACCCAAAAAAGAAAGAAAATCCCCAAAAAGAAAATACTTTCATCATCATTCAACACTTTCACCACACTCGCACATTATCACTGTTTTTGCAGAAGTGCTCAGAATACAACAGTCTAGAAGCATACACATATAAAGATACACAACATATCCCTCCAAACTGCCAATATCCCAAACCCCTCCTTTAAAGTGCAGGCATTGTACTTCCCATTTCCAGGACTCAAGTCCGACTATATGAAAATAACCGGTTTCCCTGAATCCCTTCACTAAATATTACCCTGCTCACACTCCAACAGATCGTCAGGTCCCAAGTAGTAGTAGTAGTAGTAGTAGTAGTAGTAGGTTGGTAGACAGCAACCACCCAGGGAGGTACTACCGTCCTGCCAAGTGAGTGTAAAACGAAGCCTGTGATTGTTTTACATGATGGTAGGATTGCTGATGTCTTTTGTCTGTCTCATAAATATGCAAGATTACAGGCATGTCTTGCTACTTCTACTTACACTTAGGTCACACTACACATACATGTACACATTTATTTATACACACTCATCTGAGTTTTCTTTGATTTTATCTTAATAGTTCTTGGTCTTATTAATTTTCCTTTTATATCCATGGGGAAGTGGAATAAGAATCTTTCCTCCGTAAGCCATGCGTGTTGTAAAAGTCAACTAAAATGCCGGGAACAATGGGCTAGTAACCCCTTTTCCTGTAAAGATTACTAAAAAGAATAAGAAGAAGAAAATTGTCAAAGTGGGAAGTCTGAATTTTGTAGTCATATTCAGTCTTATTTGTTTATACCCAGAACAGAATAATTAGCACAGATCCTAATTAGTAAAATTATGTACATTCATTTAGTTGCCTGACTGATAGCTTTGACTGACTCTCGTTGAATTTTTTTTTTTTTAAGATCAAGTGTCAAGGGGTTACTTTCTTTTCTCAGTCTTTTTGTTTCATTTATTCCCTTTTTCTAATTTGTATTATTAGCCATTTTTTCTACCTTTTGACCTTTTTTCTTCTATTTCTTCAGCTTGCCTTTTTTTTTTTTTTTTTTTTTTTAATGACCCAGACAGAGTTTTAGAAAAATGTAGCATAGTTAAGTTGACTGGTTGGTACAGAACACCAAGCACTAGGTTAGGTCAAGTGAGGTTTGTCAGGAAACAGGACAAGTGTTTCCTGACACGAATCTTAGTCATATGCTGACCACCACTGGAGCTTTTGGTCATCTGACCGAGGCCTTCTGCTGGCTTACTGGTCCGCTCCTTTAAAAATTAATGGATATTATTATAACCATTCTTCGTACACCAAGCACTGACTTAATTTCTGTGTATGCTTTTAGATGGGGGATGATCCTTCAGTAACATTAGAAATAAAATGTGTACTGTACTTCATTTAATATGAATAGCACAGTATATACACGTACAGACCCTCAAATCCTGCACCTTTGGGACTAAGATTTAGTTACCAGTAGTTTACAAGATTTTCTTGAATATGATCATTCATGTTGCAAAGCTAGAATAAAATATGTAATACTGACCACAGTAAATATGTATATAAAAAATCATAATTTGATTCCTCTTTAACCCTTTGACTTTCGGTCGTATATATACGTCTTACGAGCCACCGTGTTTGACGTATTTATACGCACAAATTCTAGCGGCTTCAAATCAAGCAGGAGAAAGCTGGTAGGCCTACATGAGAGAGAATGGGTCTGAGTGGTGGGTGTGCACCCTGTGAAAAAAATCGGGGACTCAGTGGTGCATTGTGGGAATGCCATCTTGGTAGTCCATTTTCACCATGCCTCGCAATAAGAAGTACCTCACTCCTCAGTGGATTGGAGGTCTTTTGTTCCCAAGTGATAGCTCTAACAGTGATGGAAGTGCCAGTGAAAGTGAATTTTATAGTTTTGGAGTGGGTGTGACCGAAAGCAGCGCCCAGGATAATGTAATTAGTGATGAAAATCCAGATGACCCTCAACCTTCCACCTCTAGTGCTGGGCCATCTCATTCACGTTCACCTGTACCAGGACGAAAGAGGAAACTATTTGCCCGTGTACAAGACTCAAATGTGAGCAGTGAAAGTGATTGTGATAGTGATTTCAAAGCTATTGAAAGCAGTTCTAGTTGCGACAGTGAGGGTGAATATTCTCCAGTGAAGCGGCAGTATATACAATGTAGCATGCGTTCTGGTAGTGTATCATTTGTTGTTCCAAGGGGTAGGAGTAAATCTCAGAGTACGTCCTGTGGCCCTACACCATGAACCGCTAGTGAAGATGACGATATTGTTACAATGGGGATGAATGATGTGCGTGGGGCAGCAGGTGGTGGTGGTGATAGTGGTGGTGGCATGAGTCATGTGGCACCAGGAGCGGGCCACGCTACTACCCATGATGCTAACTCAGCACAGCCACAACCAGCCTCAACCAACCCCACGCTCCCACAACATCCACAACCACAACCTGTAAATATCCAGTACCCACCAGCAGACTGCATCTGGGATTGGCAGCAAGGTGACAATTTTGTTCCCAATCCCTATCACTTTGATGAAACACAAAGTGGAATACGGCCATCATGTACACTTGAGAACAATGCTACTGAACTGGAATGCTTTCAGTTATTCTTCGATGAACCCCTGATGGACATTATTGTCAGGGAAAGCAATATATACTTTGAGTACACCATGGCAAACACAATTCTTTCACTAAGATCATGCCTACACCAGTGGAAGGACACAACTGTGGCAGAGATGTACCTGTTCTTTGCCACAATAATGCTTATGCCACGTGTATAAGCACAGTGTCAACACATACTGGTCGACAGACTGCCTGATATCAACCCCAGCTTTCGGTGACATTTTACCAGTGAATAGATTTGTGCTACTGTTATGTATGCTACACTTTTCAGACAAAACAAGGCCTGACAGAAGCAACAGGTTACATAAGATCAGAAATGTGTTTATGTACCTGAAACAAAAGTGCTGTATGTATTTTTATCCCTTCAGGAAGCTTGTTATTGATGAGTCTTTGATTTTGTTCAAAGGCAGACTGTCATTCAAGCAGTACATACCAAGCAAGAGGAAATGCTTTGGTATAAAGTTATTTGTACTGTGTGATTGCAAAAGTGGTCTGGTTTTGGATATACAGGAAGGCCCCGCTTTACGGCGTTTCACTTTACGGCGTTCCGCTAAATACAGACATTTTCAAATTATGACCAAACTCACCTATACGGCTCCCCCCACTGACTTTCTAATACGGTCACCGTGCCCACCCTGTTTGTTTACATTCTCCATGAGCTCAGTAGCACTAAGTCCTCCATTTTGTCTGGAAACTCAAAATTTCAAATGTTTTATAAGTTATTTCATATTTTATATAACTCTGATAATTATACTTATGGTACCTGTACCTAAATAAACTTACTACACGAGTCATTTAACATATAGTACAGGAAGTTACGGTTAATATACACATTTTCATTTAGATCCATGCATGATATTTTTTTCAGAAATGGTATATAATTAATCACGATAGCATGAACATAAATAAGATAAATACACCACTTTTGGAGATAAATAAAATGTTTGATAGTGATGGAAATCGAGCATTCCTAAGTGATGCTCATAATAAGTGCATAGTACAGATGTTCTTAAATGTCGTGTTTGTTATAAAAATTATGTTCATTAATCGTTCACCGCTGAATTTGGTTTCAATAGTATAGTAAGTAAAGGATCATAACCTATGAATAACTAAATACCGATTAAACTAAATAATATGTGAATGTGAGCAACGTTGTTGCAATGTGTTACCATAATTATAAATGACCAGAATCTCATTTCAAATGTCGTTTATTACGGTATATACCATTTACATTGATAAGTCCATGACAATTTTTACAAAATTATAATAACTTGATGATAACAATAAATAAATAAATACAACCCCACAGTAGAAAAATAAACATAAATGCCGATTGACAGACACTTCCAAGTGACGCCATATAACAATAGCCCATCTCATTGATGTCGTATATTACGGTAATATACACCGATTTCATTAATCCATCATGATATTTTCAAAATTATCAATAAACACGAGCAAAAAAATAAATAAGATTTTAGAATACACCCACAGTGAATAATAAACATAAATGTGAGATGTAGCAGACGACTTCCAC